GCGTTACACTTTGGTGATAAAAACGTTATAAGAACGTGTTGTGTTTGCTGGGGCCTACATAAATTTTTGATCGGTTGTTGAATTTATAAATTGGTTCCAAATATTATTGTTATCTAGTTCTTCCAATTGATATCATGGGTGATGGTTGATTTCTCAGCTTGAATATCAAAAACAATATTAGGCCCATTACAAATAAGTCCTGTATGGAGATACAGTACTCCCACTGTATCAAGAAATTTGAGGTCACAAAGATTAGCATTTGCTGGACATTGCTACAGAAGTAAAAATAAAGTTAATTTAAGAGTTCTCTTTTGGGAACCATGGGAAAAGGAAGCAAGGACGGCCCGACTACATACAGGCCCGTAGCCAGGGGGTTCCGCCGCACCCCCTTTTTGACTGAACCCCCTTTGACAAGCAAACCCCTTGTGACTTAAGGAAATTTTACATTACTATTATTGTATAGTATTAGAGTATTTGTAAGATTGATTTCTAGCAGAAAAAAATTATTCTACTATATTGATTTCAAATTTACTTAATTTCAGTGTTTTACTGTGCGTTGTTAATAACTGTCTTGAAATCCTGTGTTGAAAACAAGTGATCATTATTACTTTGGAGGCCCTGGCTGCATATTAGAACTCTTACTCCCTTGCATTGGATAATTACAAAAATTTATTTCATTTTAAACTGCAAGAAGTATTTAAATATATGCCATATACGGGCTTCTGACCCCACCGTGGCCCTTCGGCGGGCCCCTCGACCCCACGCACTGAAACTCCCCCACCCCCCACTTGGCTGAAGCTGGCTACGGACCTGACATACATCAAACTATTCTAAACAAACAGCAGTATGCAGTACATTCAAACTTTATGGGAAAACAGAGATTTGTGGAGTCATAAAAAAGTTATAACTTTGTCATTAACCGACTGTGCCTATAAAGAGAGATAGAGACGAGGAAGAACACTTCCCCTCCCCCTTTCAGAATTAGAAAAAAAATAAAGTTCCCCTCCCCCTTTCAGACTTAGAAAAAAAATAAAGTAGCCCTACCCCTTTTTAAATGTTAAAAAATAACCAACATCAATTTTAAGTATGAGTCGATTTTCAACAACTTTAGTGATTTTTTTTTGCTTTGGACACTCATGGGCACTGAAAGAATAATCTTTGGGATGGGGATGCCGTGCGCTGCTTTACAAACATTTTTCCCATGAGAAAACTAAAAGTTTTCTCAACTGGTGATGTCATACACACAAATTATGAGGCCTATGTCTGGTGAAAATAAATTTACAACTGCATGCACTGATCTCTACTATCTAGTTTAAGTAGAGAAATAATGTTTGCATGCAATGGAGTGGGGCGAAGCTATAAGAGCTCTCAACTCTGAACTCATGGTTGTATTTGTGCGTTCCAGTGTGACCACTGCTTGGGTATTTACCCAAGATCTTGGGTATTTTGACTTGGTCTCGGGTTCTTGGGTATTCCGTTCAAATCCTTGGGTATTTTATTTTTACTAAGAAAATTAAATATTTTTGTCATAGAGGAAGAATTAAGAAGTAACAAAGTATATGTCACTCCTTTCAAGTAAGCAAAACTCAACGAAGTGCACAAAACATTGTTAATTGACTGTTATTTCTATAAACATGGGTTCAGAATTGTTTATTTGTGATTTGCGTTGCCATTGATCTTACCTAAATAATGCATTAGATAATAAAACTTGATCACTGATCTACTGATAACATTGACCGACTGAGGGCGTATTTTTCTATCTGTATTATTGCCTCATGAATATTAATTTTAATAATTAACACAAACAATTACAATAAAAAATGGTTTATAAATTGAACTGAAACTATACATGCGAAATTTTAATGCATTTTCAGGCTTTTGGGTAATTTTTGGCAATTTTAGCTGAATCTTTTGTAATTTCGACCCAGTCATTGGGTATATAAAAAATTGTGAGTGGTCACGCTGGTGCGTTCGCGCGTATACTTGAGTCAAGTTAGCCAACAATAAGCCAGCCAACAACAAGCCAGCCCACAATTCTAGCCAACAATCTAGATAGAATACGATCGCGTTGGACTGCAGTTTCACTATTTACTTCACCGTGGGTGAGGCGGCGAAGCACAGTTTTATTGACCACTGCTGAGGGAATAGAAGGTGTGGGGGTGGGTGGATGGGTAACATTAATAGTATGAAAATTAGTGGATGGCGAGAGAAGGGGACGGGACAATCGGAGGGGAGTTGGGAACAATATTGTTCGAAAACGACAGATAGTTCCTAAAAATCACTTAGGCCTATGATGTTATCCCCTCATTATTATTATCAAGGTTAGGCCTAGCTAGATAGGGACCGCAGCTCACGTTTTCCCCACCTTTTTTAGTTTTCACTCATATTAACAGGCCTGCTGGTCTGCGCAAGGGGTGTAAATGTAGATAATTATTGCTAACCTTTTTATAATTTTCACCACAACGAAGTTAGAGTGGGACCAGAGGTCCCTTTTAATACCTCCCACCAGTTTAATTTTCCTCATTTTTATGATTTTTGTACTGGTATGCGGGAGGGGTGTAAATGTAGGTAACGATTGCTCGAAAACGGCAGATTGTTCCTGAAAATCCCTTGGTGGGGTTATGATGTGATACCCCCTCATTCACTGCATCAAAGGTAGAGTGGGACCGGAGGTCCTGTTTAATAGCCCCCACCACTTTAATTATTCGTCATTTTCGTACTGGTATG